CTTTTTGAGACAGAGTCTTGCTCCATCACCCGGGCTGGAGTGCAGTGGTACAATCTCACCTCTCTGCAACCTCTACCTCCTGGGTTCAAGCGATTCTCATGCTCAGCCTCCTGAGTAGCTGGGATTACAGGCATGTGCCACCACACCCGGGTAATTTTTTTGTGTTTTTAATAAAGGATTTCACCATGCTGGCCAGACTGGTCTCGAACTCCTGGCCTCAAGTGATCCACTTGCCCTGGCCTCCCAGGGTGCTGGGATTACAGGCGTGAGCCACCATGCCGGGCCAAAAAGTCCAGTTTCTAAGACAGGAAGCTTGAAAATAATAGCGTGCACTTATTGAGCGCTTATTTCATGCCTGGCAACTTACATGCACCAGCTCAGCAAAAGCTAACAAGAGTTCTATGAGGTTAGCGCAGGCTTTACCTGCGTTTGACAGGTGCATTTTCCACAAGTAAGTCGTAGATCCCAGGGAAGGGGCTGGTGGGAGTGGGCGCACCAGTAGTTAGGGGACAGTTGAACCCAGGCTGCCCCTCTAACCACTGGGCTTTACTGGCTCTCTGCACCCCCAGAGTCTTATCAGTGAACATCCGCGATTCCCAGCAGAGTCTCTGATTCCAAACCAGGGGTAAGAAATCCTGGACTCTGGGAGATTTCCTGAGGCCACAAAGAATTTGGTCGAGCACATACAGGGATTTTTCCAGTTTTAGATATGATTTAATTCAAAGTCTCTGCCCGCTCCCGGTCTGTTAGAGGTGCGGCGAGTGGGGGAGGCAGGAACCTCCCTTCGCTGGTCCATGGGTCCCCACCCGATCCCGCTGCCCCGGGTAATACCCTCCTTGGCAGGTCCTCTGCTCCGCGCCCGCAGCTCCAGGCAGCTCGAGCGCGCGGGACTGGAGGGCGGGGGGCGAGGGGCTGGGAGCGGGGGGCGGGCAGAGGGAGGAACAATGGCCCCCTCCCCTCCCCTGACCGGCTGGAGGGTGGGGTCTCCCCGCCCCGCCTCCCCGCTCCTCCCCCGACAAGGCGATGAGGTAATCGCGCCGCTGAGAGGCACGCGCAGCCGGTGCCCAGCCGGTTGGTCCCTGCGCCCCTGCCCCGCCGGCCACCGCCCCCCAACACCGTCCCGGCCTCGGCAGCCCGGCCCCACCATGACCGAGCGGTGCAGCCTGTGGAGCGCCCTGTCGGCAGCCGCCTGCTGCTTCTACCGCGGCTCCTTCGTGCAGGTGCAGGTGAGGGGGCGGCTCGGCCCCCGCCATGCGCGCCGGGTTGGGACCCCGGCCGCTCCGCCCGGGGCCCTAGAGACAGCTGGGGAGCTGCAGCCCTGTGGCGCCCGCCCGGCAGGGTCGGGCCCGGCCGGGCCGGTCAGGGGAGGGGACGGGGTCGCCCCAGCCTCACCTCTGGGCGCCCAGGCGCTCCGCGGGGTGAGGGTTCGGCGGCCACTCCTGGGACTCCGGGCTGCGGTGGATGCCGGTCCGTTTCTGCCTTCTCTGCAGGAGGGAGAGAGCTGGGGCAGGGGGTGCCGGGAGATAGGGTCCCCGGCACCCTGCCGGTCCTCCGCCTGGCACGCTGGCCCTTGCGGCTGACCTGGGCACCCTGGCTCCCCATTGTACCGGGGGCGCTGGGCTGGGATCTGAAGGCTGAGTGAGGAGCAGGAAATGCGGGTGATGCTTCGGGTGCCAGGGTTGGGGCCAGAGCACCCGCCACTCTCCCGCCCTCTAGGTGTGCTTGGACATGCCTGGGGCTCAGGTCTCTCCCAGCCCAGCTGGCCGGGCAGTGCGGGACGGCGCCGCGGCGGTGAGAGGGTTAAACGGAAGGGGGTGGAGGGGAGGACCCGGACCCCGCCTCTCTGCGGAGCATCCTTTGGGGATGGCTTTGCTTGGGGTTGGGACTCCGAGGTGAGCTGGAGGGGATGCTGGGCTCGGGCTGGCGGGAAGGGGTTAAGACCCTGTCCGGGGGTCTCCGCGCTCCTGCTCCCTGAGCCCCCTGGGAGATGCCAGGCGCGTCGGCTCTTCGCTCCCCCAGGCTCACACACGCTCGCGGAGCCCGCCTGAAGGACGGCCCCGCCGGCTGCGGAGCGGAGCATCCCCGCACCGGCCAATCAGGCGCGCGCAGGCCAGGAGGCGGTGAGATCATCTCTGGCCAATAGCAGAGCGCCGAGCGCAGGGATGCTGCATTCGCACTCCAGCACCCCCAACTCTAGGGAGCTGGGGGCCCCCAGGTCGATGTGAGATCAAGGCACAGGGACCCTAGGATTCCTCACCCTCAGGTGTGTGGGAGGACCAAGTTGGTCCCCCCAGACTCTCCGTGACCAGTGATTAAGCTGGAAAAGGGGAGCCCAGTCTCCCAGCCCCCTTTAATGGATGAGTCTTCTCAGGCCCAGAGAGGGGAAGTGACTGGCTCAAGGTCACACAGTGGCAGCCTTGGGGCGGGTTCTTCAACATCCATTCTCCTCCCTCCTTTGCCCGCGTCCCTCGGGCTCCAGCTGAAACTGGGGGAAGGTCTCAATCGCATGCCCTTTGTCAAGGAGGACACCAGAAGGCTGAGATCTTGGGTCCCTTTTTCCCTGTGATGCCCACTCTTCCCTTCCCAGGATTTGGTGTGGTATGAGGAAAGAGGACTAGGCTGGTGTGAGCACCGCAGAGTAAGAGCGAAAGAGAACAGGGACCCCCAGAAGTAGGGGGCCGCTTGGAGAAGTGTAGGTGTCTGAGAAGGCCGGGATCCTAGCTCAGCCCTGGGCCTCTCTGCCCTTCGGGAGTGTCGGTTTCTACCAGGGCTGGAGGATGTGCAGAATTCCCACCCCCAGGCCTTTTTCCTGAGCACCTGTGCAAACCGCCCACTCCCACCATTTGTCCCCAGAGTCCTGCAGGTTCCTCAAGGTCCAAATTTTCATGGGCCCACCGCCAAGCTACTTCTGCCCCAGCCTTGCCCACTCAGCGTGTCCCATCATCCTTCTAGGATCTGGGCCGGGAGTCCTCTCTGACCCCTCCGCCCTGCTCCCCTGCATGAATCAATGGCCATCTAAACTCCCCTTCCCCCACTCCTTCTCCCCACACCTTATCTGCCCTGCTACTGCCTAGAAAACCCTAGACTGCTCTCCCCAAGTGGTCTAAACCTGCTCCAACACTTCCAAACCCTTCCATGGCTGTGCTGTGGCCTCCGGCTAATCCCCAGCTCACTAAGACACCTGCCACACCTGCCCCTGCCCCCCCAGCCCCTTGGAAGCTTCTCATTCATCTCCCCTCCCTCCCCTTGGCTCTGCCCATAGGGCCCTGACTTTGCTGCTGTCTGCCCAGAAGCTCTTCCCTGCCCACCTGTCCACCTGCCCTCTCCCCTCTGGTGCTTTTGCTTGGCTCACCCAGTCCTTCTTCAGACCTCAGCAGAAATGTCACCTTTTCTGGGAAGTGATCCCTGACTCTGCCCCCTGACTAGTTTGGTGGTGCACCATCTCTGTCTGTGCATCTCGGGACATTCGGGAAACCTGGAATTGATTGTCAGTGTTTGCAAGGCCTCCCCCAGGGCAGGGGCCACCTTGGGTCCTCACCCCTGGACAGGACCAGGATAAGGACTTAGTCAATGTTGAATGGAGTCAGAGATTCTAGATATCTCTGACACTGGGAATCATGGTGTCTTGGGAGCAATGCAGACTGGGGTAAACCCAGGCAGTATGGGAGCAGAGGGGTAAGGGATGTAGTCATAGAATTAGGAGGCAAAATCTGTGGATGGTCTGAGGAGGCAGGGAGCCTTGAAGGACCCTTGGACTCTGGGGAGCGAGGGACCCCAGGGAGAGACTCACCTGGGATGAAGGCCCTTTACTGCCCTCCCTCATTGATCTTGCCTTCTGGCCAGTGCTGGGGTCTATCTGTCTTGGAGTAGCCATCTTTGGGGCCTGGAGTTGGGGGAAGGAGAGGAAGAACCGTCCCATGTCCTTGCAGTGATGAGGATGTCTGTGTGCTAGTAGTACTCTGGAGTGCTGTCTCTTTTCATCTTCACAGTGAGGTGAGGCAGGTTCTGTCACTGTACCCATTTTAATGAGGAAGAAATTGAGGCCCAGAGAGCTCACATGGCACAGCCAGGATTGGACTGGGCTCTGGTGGGTGTACACCTGGCATTAGGGGCTTCCCTTCCTCTGCCCTTAGGGCCCCTGAGATCCATCAGCCTCCAACTTCAGGCTACAGTGATCAAGAAACCAGGAGGTTCTGGGCCAGGTGGGAGGGTGGAGTACTGGGCATTATCTCCTTTGGTGGCCTTGGGCTTCCCTGCTGGGCCATGGCCTCCTCATCTGGTGAGGATTGCTGGGGATTTCAAGGGAGAAATGGCTTTGGAAATTGTAAGGGGCAATGCAGATGTCTGTGTGGGGTCCCCGTGTCCCTGTTTATAGTCTCTTCCCCACCCTTGCATTGTAGAATGCGCCATCCCAGAATGTATCCTTGTCCAACCAGCTCTGTGGTTTTTGCTCATAGCTTTTCCTGCAGTTACCTGCTGCCTTACCTCCAAGATTCACCTGTAGAAATCTGCCTCCAACACTTCAAGATCAGTTTGGTGCCTTTGGTGCATAATGAGTGTTTTCTTACTGCCGTCTCCTCCAGGAAGGCTTCCCAGACCCCTCTGCCTTGCCCAGGCTTAATCCTGCTTGTAGAAGCCACCCGGCTCTTTGCCGCTGTCCAGCGCTATGGTGCTGACTGCCCTCTACTCAGAGGCTCCCATTGCTTTTGCCTCTCCTCAGCCTAGGCACTGCCTTGAGGGCCGGGCTTGGTTTATGTGTCACCGCATCCACCTCTGGCATATAGCACAGGGCCTGGAATGCAGTTGGCATTGTTTGGTTGAAGGAATTGAGATTTCTTTACTCTTTCTGGGACCCAAGGTAAAGGACCTTTCTGGCACCTGTGCCTTAGTGTTCCCAGAGTCCCAGGATAGGAGGAGTTCATCCATGGTAGAATGAAGCTGGGAGGAAAGGAAGAAGGGGGCTTTAAGTTGGATGCCAACTCTTGCTGTCTCCTACCCAGTTCTCCAAGGAGAAGTACATCCTGGACTCATCGCCAGAGAAACTCCACAAGGAATTGGAGGAGGAGCTCAAACTCAGTAGCACGGATCTCCGCAGCCATGCCTGGTACCATGGCCGCATCCCCCGAGAGGTGAGCAGGCCCCCAGCTGGGACTTCAACCCCGGACCCTCCCACCCACTGCCTTGGGCAGCCCCAGCCCTGGTTGCAGCCACCTGGGAGGCTCTGTCCTATTGCTTGGTGGGTTCAATCAGAATGGACTGGGATGAGGTCTAGCTCTGCCCTTTACTGACTGTGACCTTGAAGAAGTTGCTTCACCTCTCTGAGCCTCAGTATCTACTGCAAAGGGTTCTTGTGAAAATTAAATGAAATAATGCAGGTAAAATGTTTAACATGATGCTTGACACCATGAATGTTGGCCTTTGTTCTTATTATTGTTACTGTTATTGTCTGGTCTATATATCTGCCTTTTGTATGCTTGCTTAGTGAGTACCAATCTTTGGGTTACTTAGTTTTGGCAAAGTTGAGTTTCTTGGCTCAGGTGACTTTATAAGCCACAGACTTAAGTTTATAGATCACTTGTTCCTTCTTTCATTCATGCTATAATCTTTGCCAAACACCAACTTTGCCAGGACCTGTGCTAAGCACCAAGGCTGCAGAGGTAGAAGAGGTGGTAGCTTCTTTTGATGGCTAATGGCCCAGGGTGGGGGGCTGACAGTCAGAGCCTAGTGGAAGAAGTGCAAGAATAGAGTGCCTGGTATGAATATGGGGAAGTCCTGAGGAGGGGACACTGAGGATGGAGGCCTTTGTGAGATAGATAGGAGTTCACCAGGTGGGGCCAGGTGTGATGGCTCACGTCTGTAATCTCAGCACTTTAGGAGGCTGAGGCGGGCAGATCACCTGAGGTCAGGAGTTTGAGACCAGCCTGGCCCACATGGTGAAACCTTGTCTCTACTAAAAATATGAAAATTAGCCAGGTGTGGTGGTACGCACCTGTAAGTCAGCTACTCAGGAGGCTGAGGCAGGAGAATCACTTGAACCTGGGAGGCAGAGGTTGCAGTGAGTGGAGATTGTGCCACCACACTCTAGCTTGGGTGACAGAGTGAGACTCCATCTCAATAACAATAATAAGGCCGGGCGTAGTGGCTCACGCCTGTAATCCCAGCACTTTGGGAGGCCAAGGCGGGCGGATCACAAGGTCAGGAGATTGAGACCATCCTGGCTAACACAGTGAAACCCCATCTCTACTAAAAATACAAAAAATTAGCCGGGCGTGGTGGTGAACACCTGTAGTCCCAGCTACTCGGGAGGCTGAGGCAGGAGAATGGCATGGACCCAGGAGGCGGAGCTTGCAGTGAGCCGAGATCGCGCCACTGCACTCCAGCCTGGGCAACACAGCGAGACTCCATCTGAAAATAATAATAATAATAATAATAAATAAAAATAAATAAATAATAAACATCTGAAGTTCATCAGATGGACAAGGCAGGAACGGTGTTCCAGGACAAAAAAGCAGCTTGAGGGTGCAAGGGCCAGAGGCATGCCAGAGCACTGAGTGGTTGGAAGAATGAGGATTAGGAATTCACTCTGCCCAACCAGAACCCTGAGAAGACCTGGGTCTCAGATCAGCCATTCTCACTCCTCCAGACCCGGGGCCTCTGTGCCTCCCATTCCAAGGTGTTAGGTCCTCCCATTCCTGGGCCTCTGTGCTGCAGACCCAGGGCCTCTGCCCGAGGTGCCCCCTCTGAACCTGGGTCATTTCATCTCTGCTCTCAGATGTCAGATGTCTCTGTTTACTGGGTCCTCTATACCCTGGATCTGGGCTTACTGTCCCCCCTAATCCTGAGTTGCTCTGTCCCCCAGATCCTGGGTCTGACCCTCTTCTGGCCCTGTCCTACTCCAGCCTAACCATGCCTTCTGCAGGTCTCGGAGACCTTGGTACAACGCAATGGCGACTTCCTCATCCGGGACTCGCTCACCAGCCTGGGCGACTATGTGCTCACGTGCCGCTGGCGCAACCAGGCCTTGCACTTCAAGATCAACAAGGTGGTGGTGAAGGCAGGCGAGAGCTACACACACATCCAGTACCTGTTTGAGCAGGAGAGCTTCGACCATGTGCCCGCCCTCGTGCGCTATCATGTAGGCAGCCGCAAGGCTGTGTCAGAGCAGAGTGGTGCCATCATCTACTGCCCGGTGAACCGCACCTTCCCACTGCGCTACCTCGAGGCCAGCTATGGCCTGGGACAGGGGAGTAGCAAGCCCGCCAGCCCTGTCAGCCCCTCAGGCCCCAAGGGCAGCCACATGAAGCGGCGCAGCGTCACCATGACCGACGGGCTCACTGCCGACAAGGTCACCCGCAGCGATGGCTGCCCCACCAGGTCAGCCAGGGCCCCATTTGTCAAATGGGGATGTGGATAATGAGAGGGCTAGTGAGAAAGGGAAGGGCCAGGCACACTGAAATGGGATGAAATTACCCTCCTGGAGCCTCTGTGTGCAGGGAGGAATGGGAGGAAGGTTGGGCCATACTGTGTGGATGTACGGAACGAAGGACTTGCAGGGAGTCAGACCCAAGTGGCAGTCCCAGCTCTGCCACTTGCTGGCCATGTGCCCTTGACCCTGTCACCTCTCCTTTATTATCTCCATGTTCCTACCTATAAAGGCTTTCATTCAAGCAGCCCTCCCTATGCCAGGGGAACCCTGAGTCCTGAACCAGAGAGGGGCCTGGTCCCTGCCATCTGATGCCACCCCTCCATCCTACACAGCTAGGCCAAGGTGGGCATCCGAGCAGAGGGCTTTACAGCATGGAAATCACTGCACAGGGAATGGGATGTTCTCAGCAAATTTTAATTACACCTGGTTGTCTCTGGGGCTAAAACCAGGCCCTGGATGCCAGGAAAAGCCCCAGCAGCTGCTGGTTCCTGAGATCCTACTAAGTGTTAAGTGCTGTACGTGGCCAATCTCATCAATGCCCACTTCCTCCTGGGAGGTGGGTCCTGCCCATACACCCAATTTGTAGATGAGGACATAGGCTTAAAGGGGGAAAGCTGCTTGCTAGAGAGTGGTAGGATCAAGATTCGAACCCAGGTCTGTAGACTCTGAAGTCTGTGCCCCAAGTTTCTGTGGCTTCCCTGGCTATTTGCAGAGATCCACTGTCCTGTGCCACCTGCACTTGGATAGGCCCTTGAGGCCCCATCTCCCTGGGGCTGGGTTGGGTGCTCCCAGTCAAGGAATTGATGAATGGATACCCTGTGGGCAGCAGCCACTTGGCCTGTGGTTTGGAGCCAGTAAACATAATGGTGCCAGGATCCACAGACCATGTGTGCCTGAGGCATCCTGAGCATAGTTGGGAGCAGTGAGGAGAGGTCAGGATGGTGGGCCTACTTCCTAAGGCTCCCCACTCTTCCTGCTAGCCCCTCTCCCCAGACCGTTCTCCAGGTCGGAGGAAAGATTCTGCTTATCAAGCTAAGGGCACTAGTGAGGAGCCGTGTCTGCCCAGAGAATGGTTGTAATCGACTAATTTGCACAAAGGCACCTCGTGGGGTGTTGAATTCTGGCCTGTACCCCCTTTCCCATCCCCTCCTCCTCAGGAAAGGAGAGGAACAGAGGAGCGTGAGAAATGTTGGCTCAGCTAGGTGCCCCCAAGCCTCATCCTTAGGCTGCTCTAAGCTTCGTGGGAGGGGAAGCTGGGTAGGAATGGAGGAGAGCAGGGTCATGCGGAGGATACTGACTAGGAACTGGGCTGATGGCCAAGCACAGTGGCTCGTGCCTGTAATCCCAGCACTTTGGGAGGATGAGGTGGGCGGATCACCTGAGGTCAGAAGTTCAAGACAAGCCTGGCCAACATGGTGAAACTCCATCTCTACTAAAAATACAAAAAATTAGCCAGGCTTGGTGGCGGGCACCTGTAATCCCAGCTACTTGGAGGCTGAAGCAGGAGAATGTCTTGAATCCGGGAGGTGGGTTCAGCAGTTGCTATGAGCTGAAATCACGCCACGGCACTCCAGCCTGGGCGACAGAGTGAGACTCCATCTCCAAAAAAAAAGGAAGAAACTAGGTGTGCTCGTCACCAGGGTTCCTAGCTCTGCTCCTGACTCCCTATGTCCCCTCCCTCCTCTGGGCTTCAGGTTTTTTTGTACCTGTCAGTCGAGAGGTTGGATTTGATCATCTCCAAGTCTTCTCTGCCTCTGAAGTTCAAGGTGAAGAGGTGGGGGGTCCCAGAGGCAGGCTGAGGCCCCTGACTTCTGGGCTCCCTGCCCATGATGGTATCTGCTCCACAGTACGTCGCTGCCCCGCCCTCGGGACTCCATCCGCAGCTGTGCCCTCAGCATGGACCAGATCCCGGACCTGCACTCACCCATGTCGCCCATCTCCGAGAGCCCTAGCTCCCCTGCCTACAGCACTGGTATGGCCAGCAGAGGGGGTGGAGCAGGTGGAGGGAATCTGTTGTTGAAGACTTCTGTAACCTATGTGTGGTAGCCTTGGTTATGTATGTTTCCGCCCCTGCTGAAATGAGACCTTTTTACTAAGAGCAATAATTGGCCTGAAACCTGCTAGAACTGTTAGTATCAACATTTAAGATGTATCCATGGATTGTTTATTTAGCAACTATTTATTTATTTACTTATTTATTTTCGAGGCAGTTTTGCTCCTGTTGCCCAGGCTGGAGTGCAGTGGCGGGATCTTGGCTCACTGCAACCTCCGTCTCCTGGGTTCAGTGGATCTCTGCCTCAGTCTCCCGAGTAAGCTGGGATTACAGGTATCACGCCACCATGCCTGGCTAATTTTGTATTTTTAGTAGAGACGGTGTTGTGCCCGCCATGTTGGCCAGAGTGGTCTCGAACTCCTGACCTCAGGAGGTCCACCTCCTCAACCCATGAGTGCTGGGATTACAGGCGTGTGCCACCACGCCCAGCTAATTTTGTGTTTTTAGTAGAGACAGGAGTTTCACCATGTTGGCTGGGCTAGTCTGACTCTGGCCTCAGGTGATCGCCCACCTCGGCCTCCCAAAGTACTGGGATTACAGTCATGAGCCCTACGCCCGGCCTCTATTTTTTCTTAATAGACTTTATTTTTGAGCAGTTTAGGTTCACAGCAAAATTCGTGGAAGGTACAGAACACTGTGCTTTTTTTTGAGACGGAGTCTGGCTCTGTCGCCCAGGCTGGAGTGCAGTAGCCGGATCTGGCTCACGGCCTCTGCCTCCTGGGTTCTGCTCTCCTGCCTCAGCCTCCGAGTAGCTGGGACTGCAGGCGCCGCCACCTCGCGCCTGGTTAGTTTTTGCCTTTTTGTAGAGTAGGGTTTCTGTATTTAGCCAAGATGGTCTCGATCTCACAGCCTCATGATCCCGCCTGTCTGGCCTCCCAAAGTGCTGGGATTACAGGCTTGAGCCACCGCGCAGCCTACACTATAGCCTCTTATAATCTGAAAGTTTCTACTTAGAAACATTCAATAGGTGCTGGAAAAAATGAAAAGGATGTTTTCAACAGGCCATACTGTCAGTAGCGGGCCAAATTATGTGAGGAGGGCTGTCTAGGAGGAACTTTTTGCCTAGAGGTGGCATTCCATTGAAGTCTTGCTGTCTTTATCAGTTGTACAAATCAACCCTAAACACAGAGCCACCAGCACATCATAACTACAAACTTGATTTCAAAGCAATACCCTGAGTATAAAACCAAAAAATTCCTTGCCAGTATGATTTATTAGACCAATTTCTAAGCAATCTGGTATGATAAGCAGCCAGATGTCAAGACTTACATCCGGCTGTACAACTATTTCAGTGACCTTGGGCAGGTCAATTGCACCTCCTATGAGCTTCACTTTCTCATCTGTAGAATGAAGATTATAAAGTGCCGCCATAGGACATTGAAAGGGTTAAATAGACTGAAATTGCAAGAAAGTCTTGCAGGCTCAAGAGCTCAGTAAATATACGTCTTTGAGGGATTTGATAGTGGTTTTACCGTGGTTATGTCTCCAGCATGTAAGCAGCTCCTGGAGGCACACAGTATATAGCAACAAATCATTGTGCTAATTCAGGCCGGGCAAGTGGCACATCTGTAATCCCAGCTACTTTGGAGGCTGAGGCACAAGAGGTGGGCTTGAACCTGGGAGGGCGAGGTTGCAATGAGCTGAGATTGTGCCATTGCACTCCAGCCTAGGCAACAGAGCGCGGGCCCTGACTCAAAAAAAAAAAAAAAAAAAAAAAAAAAAAAAAAAAAAAAAATTAGCTGGGCGTTGTGGCACATGACTGTAATCCCAGCTATTCAGGAGGCTGAGGGTCAAGAATTGAAGAATTGCTTAAACCCAGGAAGTGGAGGTTGCCGTGAGCCTAGATGGCGCCACTGCACTTCAGCCTGGGCGACAGAAGGAGACACTGACTCCAAAAAAAAAAAAAAAAAAAGGAAATAATTATTGCTAACTCGTTGAGAAACAATCACATGTAGCACAAGAAACTCCAGCAGATACTCAGCTTCCCTGGATCACTGAAGCTCCTCCAAGCAGTGGGTCCCCAAGGCTGCAGCAGCCTCAGGGTGGGGCCATGCAAACTCCTGGGTCCTGGTGATTTCAGAGCATCACCTGGGCTGGTCAGCTTGCCAGAGTCAGCTGGCCCTGGTCTCTGGTGATGCAGGGAGGTGGGGACATCACCTCGGTACCCCCTACAAGGAGTGAGGGAGCCTGCTCTTTGGGAAGGGGTGCGGGAATCTCACTTTGGTGGGGAGCTGCTATAAGGGGACCTCTCTCTCTTTCTGCAGTAACCCGTGTCCATGCCACCCCTGCAGCCCCTTCTGCCACAGCACTGCCTGCCTCCCCTGTCACCCGCCGTTCCAGTGAGCCCCAGCTGTGTCCTGGAAGTGCCCCAAAGACCCATGGGGAGTCAGACAAGGGCCCCCACACCAGCCCCTCCCACACCCTCTGCAAGACCTCCCCGTCACCATCACTCAGCAGCTACAGTGACCCGGACTCTGGCCACTACTGCCAGCTCCAGCCTCCCGTGCGTGGCAGCCGAGAGTGGGCAGCAGCTGAGGCCTCCAGCCAGCAGGCCAGGAGCTATGGGGAGAAGCTAAAGGAACTGTCAGAAAATGGCGCCCCCGAGGAGGACTGGGGCAAGACCTTCACAGTCCCCATCGTGGAAGTCACTTCTTCCTTCAACCCGGCCACCTTCCAGTCACTACTGATCCCCAGGGATAACCGACCGCTGGAGGTGGGCCTTCTGCGCAAGGTCAAGGAGCTGCTGGCAGAAGTGGATGCCCGGACACTGGCCCGGCATGTCACCAAGGTGGACTGCCTGGTAGGTGTTGGCTGTGCACTGGGGTGGAGGGAGCATCTCCGTTCTATGGGGCAGGGCAATGAGAAACTGGCTTCCAGATTCCCCAAGTATAACAAGTGGGCCTGGATTCTAGCTCCATGACTGTCCTTTGCCTGCTCTGTGACTCTGGGCAGGTCATTTAGCCTCACTGGGCCTCCAGTTTCTCCTTTTAAAAAGCACATAAGGCCGGGGGTGGTTGCTCATGCCTGAATCCCAGCACTTCAGGAGGCCAAGGTGGGCGGATCACCTGGGGTGAGGAGTTCAAGACCAGCCAGGCCAACATGGGAAACCCCATCTCTACTAAAAATACAAAAATTAGCTAGGTGTCGTGGTGGGCACCTGTAATCCCAGCTACTCGGAAGGCTGAGGCAGGAGAATCACTTGAACCTGGGAGGTGGAGGTTTCAGTGAGCCGAGATCGCATCAGTGTACTCTAGCCTGGGCAACAGAACGACACTATTCAAAAAACACACACACACACACATACACACACACACACACACGATATCCTTGCTTCCTCCAGATGTCAGTTTGGCTACAACTGGGCAGACCTGAAACCCAGTGGTCTCTGGCTCCCTGAGGCACTTGGGGACACTTCTGTAGTGTGCCGCAGAGCCTTTTGAGGGTTAGCCAGCTTGTCCTGGGACTAGAAAAGGCCTGACTCTCCGCCCCCACCCCCCCTAGTGGACAAATAAGCAGAAATGATTACTTCCTCGGCCCATAAGTTGTCAATGCCTGGGCCTTAGCTGTGTTGAATCATTGAACATCTAAAGACCCCAGTTCTCTCTGTGCCTCAGTTTCTCCTTTCTTGGGAGAAACTGATCATCAGGTTATACTGGTCTCAGAGCGCGGGAAGCAAGAAAAGAGTCAAGGCAGAGATGTTGCTCCATGAAGAGTCCAGGGTGGCAGGGAGGACCCAGGTTCTAGGCCCAGTGTGTGACCTTGGGCAAGCCCATTCCCTGCCCGGGCTTCAGGGTTTCCCTCTGCAATGGACAAGTATCCGGCTCTTAACCTTAACTGAATATTTATTTATTTATTTATTTATTTTATTTTTATTTTTTGAGATGGAGTCTCATTCTGTCACCCAGGCTGGAGTGCAGTGGCGTGATCTTGGCTCACTGCAACCTCTGCCTCCTGGGTTCAAGCGATTCTCCTGCCGCAGCCTCCCGAGTAGCTGGACTACAGGCACACGCCACTGTACCCGGCTAATTTTTGAATTTTTGGTAGAGATAGGGTTTCGCCATGTTGGCCAGGCTGGTCACGAACTCCTGATCTCAGGTGATCTGCCCACGTCGGCCTTCCAAAGTGCTGGCATTACAGGCGTGAGCCACCCCGCTCGGCTGACCTTAACTGAATATTTAACATGCCAGGCACCTCTGGGCATTTTCCTATTAATTCTCACTTCACAGATGGGGAAACTGAGGCTCGCTGAGAAAGGCAGAGTCACTTGCTCCATGTCAGAGGGTTAGCGGTGGAGCTGGAATTCAAACTCCGCCTTCCAACCAGGCTACCCACTTAGATAAAGCTCTCTGACTCCCAGATGGCTGGGGCCAGCCCTGACAGGATATTAATCAGCCCTCTGGGCGTCTTTGCAGGTTGCTAGGATACTGGGCGTTACCAAGGAGATGCAGACCCTAATGGGAGTCCGCTGGGGCATGGAACTGCTCACCCTCCCCCATGGCCGGCAACTACGCCTAGACCTGCTGGAAAGGTGAGACAGCGCCGGCACCCGGGGACTCTCGGGGAACCCCCGGCTACCGCAGTCCCCGCTGGACAGGGCGGGTTGGCCAATCACAGCCTCAGCTCGGCTCCCAGGGCTCTGGCCACGCCTCCCATCCCATTGACCAATCGCAACCCCTGATAACTCGCTCTAAGCAAGCTGATTTCCCAAAGACTGAATCCTGTATCTCCGCATTTGCCTTCCTTTCGCATCCCCTTGACCAATCATCCCCTTGACCATCAGCCTGGCCTCGCCTATCAGCTCGGGGTCCTCCTTGTTCATATGATCTTAAAACTGATCTGCGTGGCCGGGCGCGGTGGCTCACGCCTGTAATCCCAGCATTTTGGGAGGCCGAGGTGGGCGGATCACCTGAGGTCAGGAGTTCGAGACCAGCCTGGCCAACATGGCGAACCCGTCTCTACTAAAAATTAGCCGGGCGTGGTGGCGCGCGTCTGTAATCCCAGCTACTCTTGAGGCTGAGGCAGGAGAATCGCTTAAGCCCAGGAAGCGGAGGTTGCAGTTAGCCGGGATCGAGCCATTGCACTCCAGATTGGGCGACGAGCGAGACTCTGTCTCAAAAAACAAACAAACAAAAACAAAAAACAAACTGCTCTGCGTGACGCATTTCCCTGTGCACCCACAGCTCTGGCCCCGCCCCCTTATCCCATTGACCCTTACAACCTCTCACGTTGGCTCCGCCCTCCGCCCCTCCCGGCCCAACCGCAGGCAGCGCCCCAGGCCCGCACCCCTCACCACTGTCCCTGAGCCCGCCGCCTCTTACCCCGCCGCTCTGACAGGTTCCACACCATGTCCATCATGCTGGCCGTGGACATCCTGGGCTGCACTGGCTCTGCGGAGGAGCGGGCAGCACTGCTGCACAAGACCATTCAGCTGGCGGCAGAGCTGCGGGGGACTATGGGCAACATGTTCAGCTTCGCGGCGGTCATGGGTGCTCTAGACATGGCCCAGGTACTGAGAGCCGCGCAGAGCCGGCATCCGGTAGACTGTCTGGAAGAGCCCTGGGGTGCCTTTGGGATGGCTGTGTATGGAATCAGGAGGAGCTTTGGAGTTTCTAGGCACCATTGGTGAGAGTACCCGGGAGAACTGAGTTCTGCAAGTGCCTACCCACAGCAAGTTCTTCCCCTTCTCTGTGCCTCAGTTTCCTCGCTTGTAAAATAAAACGAATGAGGAGCATTATGTGAGTTTAAAGAATAAAAATAGGCCAGGCGCCGTGGCTCATGCCTATAATCCCAGCACTTTGGGAGGCTGAGGCGGGCGGATCACGAGGTCAGGAGTTCAAGACCAGCCTGGCCAATATGGTGAAACCCCGTTTCTACTAAAAAGTACAAAAACTTAGCCGGGCGTGGTGGTGCGCGCCTGTAATCCCAGCTGCTCAGGAGGCTGAGATAGGGGAATCGCTTGAACCAGGGAGGCAGAGGTTTCAGTGAGCCGAGATCATGCTTCTGTACTCCACCCTGGGCAACAGAGTGAGACTCTGTCTCAAAAAAAAAAAAAAAAAAAAAAAAAGAATAAGAATAAAGTGGCAACCATTTAGTGAGTATTTCCTATAGGCTAGGTGGTATACTAAGTACTTTACCAGCACTGATTCCTCAGAACCATCTCATGAAGTAGGTGCCTTCAGCGTCCACATTTTACAAATGCAGTGTTTGAGACAGAGTAGTCCTTGCCTAAGGTCACACGGTCAGAGGCTGAAAGAATTAGGACTTGAACCAGGTCTAGCTGACTTCAAAGCTAAGCCTGCCTCTCCTATGCCTGATAAATAAGAACAATGGCCAGGCATGGTGGCTTATGCTGGTAATTCCAGCACTTTGGGAGGCTGAGGAGGGAGGGCAGATCACCTGAGGTCACGAGTTTGAGACCAGTCTGAGCAACATGGTGACACCCGTCTCTACTAAAAATACAGAAAAATTAGCCGGATGTGGTGGTGCATGTCTGTAGTCTCAGCTACTCAGGAGGCTGAGGCAGGAGAATCGTGTGAACCCAGGAGGTGGAGGTTGCAGTGAGCCGAGATTGCGCCACTGCACTCCAGCCTGGGTGACAGAACGAGACTCCATCTCAATAAATAAATAAATAAATAAATAAATAAATAAGAACAACAAGGTCCCAGAGGCAGTGTCCTGGGTTCAACTCCCAGCTCTGCCACTTTTTAAAAGAATAACCTTGGGCAAGTCATTCCCCTCTCTTGAGTCTTAGTTCCCTAATCTGTAAAATGGGTTTTGTGAGAGCTTCATGGTAGACATGAAAAGCAGTCATCACTGTCCCTAGTACACGAAGGATGGCCATAATAATAATACTGGTCCCACATCTGGGTGTCCACTCAGCAGGGCAGCAGGGTGGCCGCTGCAGGCCCTCTGCCTGGCTGGTCTCTCACAGTTTGGCCTCCCCAGATTTCTCGACTGGAGCAGACATGGGTGGCCCTGCGGCAGCGACACACGGAGGGTGCCATCCTGTATGAGAAGAAGCTCAAGCCTTTTCTCAAGAGCCTCAACGAGGGCAAAGGTACTTTCTTGTTGTGTGACCTTGGACAGGTTGCAGCCCTCCCTGGGGTCCCAGCATGGACAGGGATGAGAGCCTGGCTGAGCTCTGTGCAAGCTACTTTCCCTGAGCTCACTGTCCCTGCTGGCAGCTGTGTCAGCCTTGTTCACATCCAGGCTCAGCCCTTGGGGCTGGGCCAGGGCTGCTGTGGGTTCAGTTGGGGGAATCCGAAAGGAAGGGTTTGTCCCAGGAGTCAGAAGCCCTTGAGGCTCTCCGGGACCTCAGCCAGGCCGGTTCCCTCCTGCACCTCGGCTTCCGGGACTGCAGTGGATGGTGGGCACTACAGGATCTCTAAGCGCCTGCTGCCTTTCTCCCTGCAGAAGGCCCGCCGCTGAGCAACACCACGTTTCCTCATGTGCTGCCCCTCATCACCCTGCTGGAGTGTGACTCGGCCCCACCCGAGGGCCCTGAGCCCTGGGGCAGCACGGAGCATGGCGTGGAGGTGGTGCTGGCCCACCTGGAGGCTGCCCGGACAGTGGCACACCACGGAGGCCTGTACAACACCAATGCTGAGGTCAAGCTGCAGGGTGAGTGGCGGGTGGCATCTTTGGGGGCTTGCAGGCCTGGGCCTCCCTCCACCTGCCTCACTGTTTCCCTTTCCTCCAAGGCATCCATTCACATTTCTGCACTCCTCTGTCCTGCCTTGTCTCCCTGACCCCTTCCTCTCATGTCTTGTCTTTTCTTTTCTTTCCTTTTCTTTTCTTTTTGAGATGGAGTCTTACACTGTCGCCCACGCTGGAGTGCAGTGGCACAATCTCAGCTCACTGCAACCTCCGCCTTCCAGGTTCAAGGGACTCTCCTGCCTCAGCCTCCCGAGTAACTGCAATTGCAGGCGTGGGCCACCATACCTGGCTAATTTTTTGTACTTTTAGTAGAAGCGGGGTTCCACCATGTTGGGCAGGCTGGTCTTGAACTCCCGACCTCAGGTGATCCGCCTGCCTCAGCCTCCCAAAGTGCTGGGATTACAGGTGTGAGCCACCGCGCCTGGCCTAAAATTTATATATGTTTCTTAGGAAATAATTTGGAACTTAACAGAAAAATATGAGAAAAGAAAAAAATCACCAAAAATCTGCAAACAGATTAGTATTTTATGGTCTAGTCATTTTTAAATTATACGCTGCAAATAACAGGACAAAGATGCTAAACTACAGGGTCATGTTGATTCACAAACCTTGTTGGATCCCTGGCGGAGTTGAGGGGAGGTCCCTAACAGGGGGGCCTGAAGAATGCCAGGGCTCTGGACAGGAACCCCAGCCTCTGACCTGACCCTATGCCCCAACACTGCAGGGTTCCAGGCCCGGCCGGAGCTCCTGGAGGTGTTCAGCACGGAGTTCCAGATGCGCCTCCTCTGGGGCAGTCAGGGTGCCAGCAGCAGTCAGGCCCGGCGCTATGAGAAGTTCGACAAGGTCCTCACTGCCCTGTCCCACAAGCTGGAGCCTGCCGTCCGCTCCAGCGAGCTGTGATCCCAGGGACGTTTCCCCTCTGCAGCTGCGGACAGCGTCAGGGGCAGAGGGGGCACAGACCTTTCCCCAGAGCACCCCAAGGACACTGTGATCAACCCGAGAATGTTCTGGGTTCAACTCAAGCATCTCCCTTGCACCTCCAGGGTCCTGCGTGGACCCTGGGTTCCATCCCACCTGCTACACGCTCACCAGGTCTCCGTTGAGGAAGAACAGGAACGCCGGTTCCCCCACCAGCTTTTGCTGCTCCCCTTCCTGCTGGGGTTCCCTGTTTTCGAGCCATGGGAGGCAGGCTGTTCACGCCTCCTCACTCTCCATCTGTCCCTCACCCACACCAAGGCCTCCGTCTCACTGTAAATAAGTCTCTGTGTTCTGTAAATAGATGTACAGAAGCCATGTTATTTCTTTCATATAATAAACTTTTATGACTCTTTATTCTGTCTCTCGGGCTCCTGGGGTAGAAGGAAGCACCTTTTCTCAGGTGAAAGGTAGAACGTTCAACAAATGTTGTGAGTGAGTGGCGAGTATCTAGGGCCATTGGCATGGGAGTAAGAAGGATTTACCAAGACAGTTGTAGGTAAAGCAAGGCAGATTTATTAGAGAAAGCATGAAAATGCATTGCAAGGTAGCGATGGGCAGGTCAGCAGAAGAGGAGCTGACTGCGAAGAGACAAAGCCTTGCTGTGAGTTTTTTATGGGATGGCGTTTCTGCTGTGTGCTCAACAGGGCTTTCCGCAGTACTGATAACACCAAGGTTGCAGTGGGCTAACCTACAGGTGTCTGGTGAGAAGTTGGGCACAGGAGGGCTGTGTGACCTGAACCATCAAGAAGGCAGACATCTGGCTGGGCGTGGTGGCTCACGCCTGTAATCCCAGCACTTTGGGAGGCCGAGGTGAGCGGATCACGAGGTCAGGATATTGAGACCATCCTGGCTAACATGGTGAAACCTCGTCTCTACTAAAAATACAAAAAATTAGCTGGGTGTGGTGGCGGACGCCTGTAGTCCCAGCTACTTGGGAGGCTGAGGCAGGAGAATGGCATGAACCCGGGAGGTGCAGCTGACAGTGAGCCAAGATCGCATCACTGCACTCCAGCCCGGGTGACAGAGCGAGACTCTGTCTCAAAAAAAAAAAAAAAAAAAAGGCCGCCTTTGAGCTTATCTGCTCTCTTTTTGCTTTCCCCTGGTCCAATCAGCATGACTCATTTTCCCTAATTAGGACTTCACAACAAATACTTCTGAAGCACCTGCGACAGTCCAGATTGTGCCAGGAGCCAGGGTTACAGCAAGTATGAAAACCCAGTCCTTGCTCTCTGGGAGCTCACAGACCAGTGAGAGAGATGAACAGCTAATTCCAACCCAGTGCTCCTACCCCCTGCCCTGCCCCCGGACGCCATGGCAACAGTTCCCACAAATGCACAACCAAAAATCCGAGGAACTGGGGTGGAAGGGCTTATTGAAATCTATGATCCCAACTCCCCTCTGGAAGACTGATACCTGAAAGGAGAAGGGACTTTTCCCGGGTCACAGCAGCAGAATGGCAAGGGCTCCACCTGGCTTCCCGGATCCAGACTTCTCTCCTTTTTTCTCCTTGATAGTGGAAACTACTCATTTTCTTTTTCTTTTCTTTTCTTTTTTCTTTCTTTCTCTCTTTATTTTCTCTCTCCTTCCTTCCTTCCTTCCTTCCTTCTTTCCTTCCCTTCCCTTTTTGTTTTTTTCTTTTTCTTTCTGAGACAGAGTTTCACTTATGTCACTGTAGCCTCCGCCTCCCGGGTTAAAGTGATTCTCCCACCTCAGCCTCCAGAGTAGCCAGGATTACAGGCGCCTGCTACCACGCCTGGCTAATTTTTGTATTTTTAGTAGAGACGGGGTTTCGCCATGTTGATTCGTCCGACTCGGCCTCCCAAAGTGCTGGGATTACAGTCATGAGCCACCGCACCCACCGCAACGACTTCTTTCTTTTCAGGCTTTGATATTTGGCCCCCGAAGCCTTGGGGTGTGTGTGTGTGTGTGTGTGTGTGTGTGTGTGTGTGTGTATAACTATGTGTTGAGGTTGGTAGGGACAGGGTCTTTGAGGTGGGCCATGAAGGCTGTTGTCTTGGTTCCCTTACTCCAGTGGGTGGGGGAGGTGGGCAATATGGATCAAAACGAATCCAGGCCAAGCTGGAGGCCTGGGAAGCCTGTGCGCTGAACCTCAAACGTCTGGAGTCCTTTGCCTTCTGAATCTTTTGACCAAGAGAGGCAGATAACATGCAACCGCGCACTAGGGCTCTGGCAGCAGCCAGACTTGGGTTTAGTTCTATTGTTTACCAGCTGTGTGACATTGAGTAAAAGGCTTAACCTCTTCGGTCCCAAATGCCTCCTTATTAACATGGGGACAACAACAAAACCCATCTCCTAGAACTGATGCCAAGCATTTGGCCACAGTTGCTGCTAGGTGAGGGACAGTCCTGTTTCATACACAACGGAATGTTGATAATCATTTATTGATCACTTTCAGAGCCAAACAATTTGTGTGCCTTTATCTCATTGAAACACCACCATTTCTCTGGATAGCAGATACTATTACCACATTATAAGTTATATAGACATTTAGCACTAATGGCACAGAGTAAGTGCTCACCAAAAACTGTTAGCGAAGGTACTTTTGTCACATAAAAGAAAAAAGGAGCATGGGAAAGGCGCTTTGCAAGGTGTAAGGTTCCGCACAAGTTTTTGCTGTAATTGTTACGTCGCCCTTTGTGGTCATAATCCTTTATTTATTCTTTCTGAGTTACTACGATGGTCCCCTAGTTACCGTGGCCATGGAAACGCGGCCCGCCGTCCCGGATTGGACGGTTCGCGGGTTCCCCCTGGAGGCCACCTTCTGGTCCTGCTGCGGAAAGACGGGGCCTGCCTTGGAGACGGGGAGAGGGGTGTCGGGAGTTGTAGGCGATGGGCGTGGCTGCTGCGGAGCGGTGCACTCCGGGAGTTGCAGTTCCCGGGCGAGGCAGTTGGCTGCTCCACACCGAGCTCGGGCCTCACCCGGATGGCGGCTGTGACGCGCAGCTGCCGGCCCTGGGGCTCGCTCCTCGGGCTGTTCGGGCTGGTCTCGGCCGCGGCCGCCGCCTGGGACCTGGCTTCCCTGCGCTGCAACTTGGGCGCCTTTTGCGAATGCGACTTCCGGCCCGACTTGCCGGGTGAGGCGCCAGGGAGCCCGGAGCGAGGGGCGGGCGGACGCGGGCGCGCTGGGAGCCCGGCTGGCCCCGGCCAGAGCCGCTGAGGACTCAGAGGGTGGGACCGGGGGGCGGAGCCGGCAGACTTGCGAGGGTGGAGGGTACCCGTTGAGGTCCAGGAGGCCCTGCCAACCTGGAGAGAAGCCTCAGCCAGCAGAGCCCTTTGGGGGAGATCTTGGGCCTCCCCGGAATGGCCTGGCCGTCAAGGGAGAAGAGCGCCTTGGGGATGGCCGGGGCTGGGGCTGACTTCGTTGACAGCTCCCGTTTAGGGTTGAGTGCAATCTAGATGACCGCCTGGTGGGGGCGCTGCCTAGCTGAATCAGGCCCGAAGGTGGCTCTTTTGCGCCACAGACCCGAAGGTCCCCGTACCATGTGCATAGACAGCTTGGACAAACGTAAGGACACAGGAGTCCAGACATGACGTTCCCGACCAAGTTCCAGACATGACGTTCCCCTTGAACCTCTGCCTTGGTGGGATGTGTCCTCACCATCCTCCTGTGGCCCTAGGTCTGGAGTGTGACCTGGCTCAGCACCTGGCCGGCCAGCATCTGGCCAAGGCGCTGGTGATGAAGGCGCTGAAGGCCTTTGTGCGCGACCCTGCCCCCACCAAGCCGCTGGTCCTCTCCCTGCACGGCTGGACCGGCACCGGCAAATCCTATGTCAGCTCCCTGCTGGCGCACTACCTCTTCCAGGGCGGCCTCCGCAGCCCCCGCGTGCACCACTTTTCTCCCGTCATCCACTTCCCCCACCCCAGCCACATCGAGCGCTACAAGGTAAGCTGGATGCGTCCTTGACCACTGTTCTCCTCACCATGGGGTGCCACCCTAGGGAGTAAGTCCTGAGCCCAGACAGGGGAGTCACCTGCTCCAGACCACACAGCCGGCTGCAGCCCCAGCCCTCAGGACCCATCCTGCACAGAACTTGGGAAGGTGCCATTCTACCTGGCAGGGAGTACTTTGATTCCTTGGGGCAGTAAGGAACCTGGCAGTACCTACCTGCCAGGGTTGTTGTGAGGGACATGAGATTGTATCATTGCAGATATTATTTATGGAGCACCTATGTTTGTCAGATAATCTGCACTGTTGTCTTGCTGGAAATCCCCCCAATTTGTGGCTCAGAGTAAGCATCGGGAAATACTGGCTCTTACTACTACTGTTGTTGATTGCAAGGTACCCTCCAGGCTGATCAGTTTCAGCTGTCAACACTGCTGTGTAGTTTCAGGGAGCAGGAAGGAGCCTGCTGCTTTTATAGAAAGCAGCAGGTGTCGTGCAAGGAGCCCTCAACAGGGAAGTGGGAGGCTTGGGTTTGAGTCCCTGTTCTGCTGCTGACCGGCTGTGTGGCTTTGGGCAAGTCTCTGCCCCTCTCTGGGATACAGTTTCACCATCAGGCTCACTAAGAGGTTGGTGCTCTCTGGGAGACCACATCTCCCTAGAAAGGAGATTAGTTTTTGGTTTGGGAAGAGGTCTGGGGTTGGGGGAGTTTCTCCAGCCCCCGCTGGAACTTCTGTCTCTCCCCTACAGAAGGATCTTAAGAGCTGGGTCCAAGGGAACCTCACTGCCTGCGGCCGCTCCCTCTTCCTCTTCGATGAGATGGACAAGATGCCCCCAGGCCTGATGGAAGTCCTGCGGCCTTTCCTGGGCTCCTCCTGGGTTGTATACGGGACCAACTATCGCAAAGCCATCTTCATCTTCATCAGGTGGGGCCCAGCTTTGCAGTGGGCACGGTGGGGGGCCACTTTGCAGAGGTTCAGCTCTACAGCCTTGGCCTGTGCTCCCAGCGGAATCCAGTTCCCCGTGGGCTTAGCTAGGCTTTCCCAGTGCCCTCCACCCTCTCAGAGATGACTGTCATTCCGCCTGGTTGATTCCCTTTGGACACTCTCAGCCCATTCTGGGCTCAGTCTTTTTGATCACCACTTCCTTGTGGAAGCCCTGCCAGGTCGAGAACTTTTCCCTCTTTTGTGGTGAGGAGGACACAGGCCTGGGGAAAACAGGAACAGAGTTCTTGTCCTTTAGTCCCAGCTCTCAGAATCCTTGCTGTGTTTCCTCAGGCAGCATGGCTCCGCCTCTCTGAGCTTCTGTCTCTGCTTCTGAACAGCGGGGCCAATAATGATGCCCCGATATCTTCCTGGAAGTTTAGTGAGGGAAAGTCAGTTGAGGGACACAGAAGCATTTTGTAAACTGTAAAGTACATGGCATGTGTAGGTGAGTTGCAGGGGCCGTGGAT